CACTGATGTGTTTATCTCTCAGAATTTTCAAAACTGTGTCATTCTGAAGACATAGTTGACTATCTTACCCACCAAGTAGGAAATGTGGGCTTGCTTCTAAATAGCCCGTTTAAGGGGGTGCAGCATAGAATCAGGCCCTGTGCGTGCTCAGTTGCTCAGTCGTGTCTGACTCTTCATGACCCTACAGACGGTAGCACAGCATGCTCCTCTGTCCATGGGATTCTCCAGGCAAGAATACTGGAGTGGGCTGCCATGCCCTCCTCCAGGGGATCTTCCCAACCCATGGACTGAACCCACGACCCCTGCACTGCACACTTTCGTTGTTGCTCAGATGGTAAAGAGTCTGCCTGCAATGCAGGAGACCGGGGTTCACTCCGTAGCAATGGGTAGGGAAGATCCCCTGGAGGAGGGCATGGTAACCCACTCCAGTATTCTTGCCTGGAGAATCCCATGGACAGAGAAGCCTGGTGGGCTACAGTCAATGGGGTAGTCGGACACGACTGAGAAACTAACACAAACCTCCCCTGCACTGTAGGCAGACTTACCGCTGAGTCACCTGGGAACCCCCTGAATTAGGCCCTACAGGGTACTGACACCCTGTCTCATATGGGAGAATGTGACTATCTGAGTCACCTGGCCCCACCCCTCAGAGGATCAGGTGAGCCCATCCAGGCCCAACTCCACCTGAGCCCTCCCAGCATCTCTCAGCCCTCTCGTCAATGGTGTTTGCGATTTCTCTCTGAACCCATCCTACCACCCCCACGAGCCGCTCCTGGGCCACTCCCAGAACCCAGCCCTTACCATGGCTTCCAAATAAAACCACCCCCACTCATGGAACACGTGCAGATGGTGATAAAAACCCCAGTGCATTTTGCAAGGCAGGGTCACACTGTCCTTTCTCCACCTTCATTACCCCCTTCCCCTGCCTCCTTTTCTGCTTCTGTTTCCCTGAAGTATCAGACTTTTCCATGAGGCCCATAAATTAACACTTTCACACAGACAATACGCACACCCATGGCTTCAGAGAATCTCAATCATTTCATCCCATCTGGTCTAAGTCCAGGTATTCCTTCCCAGCAAAACTCCTCTCTGAAGGGAAGTCTAGTGGCCCTTATTTTCCCCATCTCACATCATGGGGAGAGGTGAGCATCTCAGCTGAATCACTGGGCACTCAGAAGCCCTGGAAAAGCCATTATCTGGGGCAGAGAAGGGGAAAGCAGCACCTTCCAGCAAGCTAAATCCTCTCCTCTGCCTGTGATTCATCCCCCCACTGTCCCTGGAACCCATCCTGTCCTGCAACCTCAAGCCGCAGTCACTTCTGGACCACTGTATGGGGTCAAGAGACTCAAAAGGATACGCGTCAGACAGTGACAAGTGTTGCAAATGAAACAAAACGGGTGAGGGGGCGGGAAGGAGGGCCAGGAACTATTAGTCACCCTTTGGGAAACCTCCTATCATTCATCTTCCACATCCTCCATTGTAACATTTAGATCCAGCGTTCTGGGCAGAAATGAGTCTGGCAGCTAAGACTGTTCAGCCCTAGACGCACACCTCAGGCAAGTTCTCTGGCTCTGAGCCTCTGTTTACACGGACAAAATGGAGCTTCAAGCACACCCCCCTCTAGGGTTCTTGAAAGGACAAGAGGAGACCATGTATACGCAGCACGTTGTGCGGGTGGGCAGTAAATGCTCCACAAATGGCAGTCGAAATGAGGACGCTGCTTTTTTTAGGGGAGATATTCAGAAACATGTGGCTCCATCGGAGACTGCAGGACCCAGAAGGGTCACAGGCGAGCCCTCCCCGCCTGCTGACTGATGTGATAGTCAGCTCCACTCCCCACTGCCCCCAGCTCAGGGTCCCGCGGACATCACATTTGCCCCCATGGCTCACGATGGGGAGGGGAAGAAGAGGAGGCTCAAATGGCACCCCCAACGGCCACATGAAGTGGCTTTGTGAACTAAGTCATGGTTTATCTGGCCTCAGTCTCCCCGTCCTTGAAACAAGTCCTGTGGACTTAACTTTCCACCACAGTCTTTCCTGATTGACCCAGGACCTGGTGAGAAATCAGCCAGAGGGCTGGAAGTCTCATTGACGAGGACAGGTTCAGTCAGCCACACCAAGCTCATCTTTCTGCGATAGCCCCAGTCTCCTGGAAGTGATGATCACAAGAGAAGACTGCCAACCAAGTCATGTTGAGTTCACAGGTCAACTGACCCGGAAGCTTATGAAACCTCCGTGTCAGGCCCCTTGGCAAACTGGGCCTGTTCTCCCATTGGGGTGGGGAGTGGTTAAGGCTCAAAGGCTCTCCGGAGACGAGGTGCTGCCCTGTCTGGGGGAATCACTCCAGTCCTGGGGCTGCAGGTGGGGCCTGGGGCCTGACCCCACTCCCTGCAGACCCAACCTGCACCAGGTGGGCCTTGCTGAGCTCCCAGGAGCCTCCTACTGTGATCCAGAGAAGGAGCTGGACTAACTACTGTTCTGCTGCCCACTTGGGGGTCTCAGGGGTCACAGTGATCCAGACTTCACAGCTACCTGGCGCCCATATCCCCCCAACACACCCCCACCACCCCATCCAGGATGGAAGAGCTGAATTCTCTGGAGCTCTGGCCGGAGTCACCTGAACAGGAAACTGCCAAGCGATTCACAGCCATGGCATCACCAGTAACAAGCTGTGAAGCTGAAAGAAACTCTTCTAAACTCGAGGTAATAAAAAGCAACCTTTGATTTAACCATGATAGAGGCAAAAACTGATTTGTCTTCTTTTTGTCTCAATTAAAAATATTACAAAATCAGCAAAGAGGCAGTCCAAGAGTATGCAGCCAAAATATAACAGGTGCATCCGACAGCTGAGTACTACTAATCATTTTTATATTATCTTCACAGTTTATTACAATGTTATTTTCTGAATTTTTTCCTATTGAGAGCATTTGTCAGTTTTTGTTACATGTTTGGATGTTTCCCCCTTTCCTAAACACGGTCAGCCTTCTGTACCCATGGGTTTCACATCCAAAGATTCAACTAACCACGGATCAAAAACATTAAAAAACAAAAAAACCCAAAAAATTCCAGGAAAGCTTCTAAAAACAAAACTCTAATTTGCTGCGTACAGGCAACTGTACATAGCAATCTACATAGCATTTACACTGTACTAGGTATTCTAAGTAATCTTGAGGCGATTAAAAGTAAATGGGAGGATGTGTGTGGGCTGTATGCAAATACCATGCCATTTTATGTAAGGGACTTGAGTGTCCCTGGTTTTTGGTATCTGTGAGGGTCTCGGAACCAATCCCCAGTGGATTCGGAGGGATGACGGCATTTACTTCCATCCTAATGTCATATTTGCAACTTTGCATTCTTTTTCCTAAAGAGAACCTGGAAATGGAATAAGCTTCTGGCCCTGCAACACTTGGATGTCCCTCAACTGAACCAGGCCAGGGCCTGGGCTAAATACTTTACCAGTAGTCTCTCGGATAAGCCTCATAATGACCCTGTGAAGTCACTCTGGAATTATCCTCAATTTACGACATGAAAATGGAGGCTCAGAAAGGTTAAGTGACTTGCCCAGTGTCACACAGCATAAAGCAGTGGGGCCAGAATTCAGGTCCAGAGAACTGGCCTCCAGCGCTCACCCTTTCATCCCTTTTGTTCTCAGCAGACACGCAGGCTTACCCATGGACTCATCAGCCAGGTCTCTTAGGCACATCCTTTCGTTTTGCCTTTCATGGTTGCATGAGTGGGTACGTGCGTGCTAAGTTGCTTCAGTGTCCGACTCTTTTGTGACCCCATGGACTGTAGCCCACCAGGCTCCTCTGTCCATGGGATTCTCCAGGCAAGAATACTGGAGTGGGACGCTGTGCCCTCCTCCATGGGATCTTCCTGACCCAGGAAGATGGCTCCTGCCTCTCTTAAGTCTCCTGCATTGGCAGGTGGGTTCTTTACCACTAATACCACCTGGGAAGCCTGCCTTTCACAGTTATCATTAAGCAATTGGCCCAAAGTTAGCCAATCACAGGCTTCCTTGGACTTTGCCTCCTGTGTACCTGGCATCTGAGCCTTCCTTACTCACTCCATCCTGTTCGTCCCTCATCCTGGTCAGCACCCCAGCTTTACAGCTGAGGAAACTGAGCTTTCGCAAAGGCTGAGATCGCTGGGCTCACCCTCAAGGTGGTGATGGGGGGATGCTGTGTTCGAAAAGCAGACCCTCTGCCCTCCTGGCCCAGCTCCTGGCAGGGAGGTGGTGCTGGGGGTGAGGAGAGAGAGTTCTGCTTTTACCAGTTCTCTAAACTGGTGGGTATTAGGGGGAGATGCTCCCTGTTAGAAGAAACATGGTATAATTTGTGGGGGGAAAAAAAAGGTACATGGAAGTCTGTTTCCAGTTATGTTTTTCATTATAAGGGTCAAAGTAAACACAGACAGAGGAAACTAAGAGACAAGCCTCAGACTAAATATACGACTAGCTGTTGCCTCAGCCGCCACAGACAGAACGACCTGTTTTTGGAGGGATTTTTGCAATGCCCTTTCTAGAATCCCCTTCAGGAAATCTGAAGCCTGGATCCAGCCAGGTTTTCCTTGCTGCCTGACCCAGGAATCATTGCACAAGAGTTGTCCCAGGAGAAATAAGGCGAGGTAAATGAAGAGCCAGCGCTGGCCCGAGAGGGCTCTGCATGCACCCACAGAGCAAGCCCTCCTGTCCCTGCACTGGCACCTTGAGCCCCAGAAAAACCCCAAGCTGCAGCCCCGCCCTGTGAGGTTCTGCCAGGGGCAGCAAACTCCCTTCCAGGGACGGAGCCAGCATCCCGCCAGCACCCACTTCTAGATCCGACACCGGGAGAGGAGGACTCTGTCGTCTTTGTCGTCTTCCAGAACAACTAGCGGGTTCCAGCAAGAAGTCAGGGGGAGAGCGGAGTTCCTCCCCAAGGTGTGTCCACGCTGCAGCCGGCTCACGATACCCCCAGGGACCCCAACCCAGCAGAGGTAAATCATTCCAACATGTCACATACCTCATCGTCTGCTGCTCTCCTCCCAGAGTAAAAGGCAAAAGTACCAAGTTCTATTGAGCTCCGTTCTGCAGAAGGAGGCAGGGCTGGGAGGAAGCGAAGGTGCAGCGTTCTGACTCCTGTCAAAAGAATAAGCAGCTGTTTCAGGAAGAGGGGGTGGGCAGATCCCACAGCAGTCAGGGGCTTTGTTCCTTGCTGGTCCTGGGAAGTGGGCTGTTTATCAGGCCCATTGACTCAGAGCTGCATGCCAAAGGCAGAGACGTTCCTCTCTCAGTGCCCAGGAAGGGCCCAGCCTCCCTCACAAGCGAAACTACAGGTCCAAACTTGGCCTGGCGTTGGAGGAAGTAAAGCCACCACCCTCGGGAGAGACAGCAGCATCACCCACTCCTGAGCGAAAACGAGAACCATTCTGAACCCAAACAACCCAAGTGACAACCACCAGGAATGACTGATGGAGAATTAAAAAGAGAAAAATTAAAAATGCAGAGGCGTGGCTGAAGGAGCGAGACCTCAAGACTCCTGCTGAAAGGCTACCCAAACGTCCCTCCATGTGGAGCCTCTCCCCCACATCCTGTAGGCTTTCTGTTTTGTTTGAACACTATTTTAATAGAAAGTACTGAGATCTCCCGCACCATGAGCTGAGCTTTAAGAACTTTAAAAAGGTCACTGAGGCCTAGCCCTGCTCTTTGACTGACTAATGCTTAACCCTTCCCACACCCCCCTCCTGATCCCAAAATAGAATTATCCAGATGGAAGGGACCTCACAGCAGTGCATTTTCAAATGTTGAATAGCTAAAGTTTTTTTTTTTTTAAGAAAAAAAAAACAAAAATACATGCTGTCATTCTCAGAATCCTACTATGTAAAACAGAGGATACAGGGGGCTTTGGCTGATGCAGGGAAATGAAGCTTAAAGCCCTCCTACCCATCCCTTCCAAGTGGCCCCAGACACCTCCTTGGGAGCACAGACTGGGCACCCAGACAGATTATGGAGAGGGGAACAGAACCAGACAGAGAAGGGCCAAGGACTACCCACCCCAGCCTCCAATACAGGCCTGCCTAATTCAGCCTCTTCCTCCTGTTCTCCAGAGGAAATTTCACAGCCCCCTCCTCCTGTGACAAGAGCTAGTCCACCACAGTCTGCACGGTCTAGAAGTCCTGCTTAACTACTTGTTTAAATCCTTCCTGCTGGCATCTACTACAATCAAACCAACCACATCTTATGAGCCTGTCATTCCACCCCAGGTCTGTACCCCCAAAGAAAGTGCACATCAGCTCACCCAGAGACGTGGACTAGAACATTCATAGTGCATGGAAAACTGGAAATGACCCCACTGCCCACCATCAGACAGATCAGGTGTGACCAAGTGTGGGCGTCCACGTACCTCAGTGAGAAGGAACCTGCTACAGCCACTGACATCACCAGGATGAGGCTCCCACACACACGGCAAGGAGCGAAAGAAGCTCTGGATGGATTCCATTCATTTAACATTCAGAGGTGAAATCAACCCTTGGTGCCAGAAGTCAGAGTCGGGGTGGGCGGGACTAGGAAGGGGCCTCGAGGGAGTTCCCAGGGGGCTGGTCATGTCATTTCTTGAGCCGGGTAGTGGTGACACAGGTGTGTGTCCACTTTGTGAAATTCATCACAAACGTGCCTTTTCTGTGTATATACTAAGAGCAAAAATGAACAGAAACCTTCCTGCTGGAAGCTGCCTTCACTTGGGCGTTCTGGTTTCCCCTGACTCTGGCTCGCAGGACATAGGGTCCTGGGTAGACCTGTAGTTTCCTTCTCCGGGGTTCAACACCCCAGTTCTGAGCACCACGGAGTACCTCTCTACAGGCTCAGAGAAAATTTGTGGTTGTAAATGATCCAGGCATCTGGACTGTGGTCAGCAGACAAAGGAAAGGGGGACAGCATTTAAAGGCTAAGGAGCTGGGCCAAGACGGACTGGTCCTTCCAACAAGCAGGCCCCGATCACACAGGTCTCCCCCTGGACTATTTACAAAACAGCCTCTCCCTTTATCTCGGTGGGTCCTCAGGCTCACCCACCTCGTGGTCAGGAAAGGGAACAAGGCTCTGAGACCTCCGTGACTTACTCGAGGTCACCAGCCGGTGGGTCTTTGCTGCCCTTCCCCCTGAGCTGCCTCCAGAGGGGAGCTCTCTCCAGGTTATCGGAATCAGAGGCTCCAGGTGGGTTATCTGCAGCTCAACAGAGCAGGTAAAACCGGAAGGCAGAAGATTCACTTCCAGGAGATCAACAGTATCTTTCTTTTTCCCTAAAGCAACCTGAGGCTAAGGACTCTCAAAACAATGGAGCGCATACCTGTGGTCATTCTTTAATTGGGAGGCAGGGAACTGGAGCAAGTAAGCCTCAGGCCACGTCCCTCCACTGATCAAAGGAGGCCAGAGGCTGTCCAGGTAAGAGCCTGGCACCATTCCCAGCCAGGCTGGCTAATCTCATCACTCAAGTCACTAAGGCCCCTTCCAACCCTGATAGTCCAGGGCCTGCCAGACGACAGCCAACATTGAATGACTGTCTCTCAGCCACACCCCAAGTCAGAGGATCACAGGGCCTCAGAGCTGCAGCCAACGTAAATAGGTGCAGTCCAGGAGGAAGTGCCCTGGCTTCACATCCCAGACCCTATCTGAAAGATAGTAAACACGAAAGTCCAGATCCCCACCCTGCTTACCTCTGTGGGAGCATGAGGATTAAGGGTTCCCGGGAAAGCTTGCTATAGACACACAGGTCGCAGGCTATCACTGTTTGTTTAACTCTGAATGTGTTCTGGGCAGTTATAAAAGACATTCTTGGTGATGCTTGTGACTGATGGAACAATATGGTTGGTCTCCTCTTCTGTGCGTTGGAGATAAGCACAGTCCCCACCTCTCAAGGTGGGCAAGGAGCTTACAGCGTGGTGCTTCTGAATGTGGACTCGGGGCCCAGGCTGCCTGGGTTTGAGTCCCAGCTCTGCCCTGTAGGCTGTGCAATCCTGGGCAATTTACTTAACTTCTGTGTTTCTACAGCTGTAAGATGGGGATAATAGCAGGTGGGTTGTAGCCGGCACATATAAAGGTATAGACATGCATACTACCCATGATCGCAAGAATTAAGGATCTACTCCTTGGAAAGCGCTTGAGGTTCTCAACCACCCATAGACTCTACTGTTCAATTAATCCAAGGTTGCTGCTCCCACAGCTTTACATCAAATAAAAATGTTGACCATGTACCCGGCAGGTGGGAGAAAGGTAGGAAGGAGAGGTTCTGGCCCAATGTCCCATTATCATTAAGTATTGCCATACACCTGTGAGCATCAGTGCTGAAATGGTCCTGGAGAAAGCCCACACAATAAATAACTGCAATCAGGAGTGTTTGTACCTGTAAGTCTACTTCCTTGAGAAGAGCTGGGAAAAATGAAATCATGATGACTCTTTCCAAGCAACACCTAGCCAACCTTCTTGAGGTCTGCCTCCATCCCACCTAACCGGGGGCTAGAGCCCTCCCTCTTCCTCTACAAGCATCCATCCTGAGCCTCAGCCTTTTCCTCTCGCACCAGGAAGTCCCTCTGTGAAGCTAACCTCAGTTCTTCATGCTGTAGGTCAGACGCTTTCTGGAGAAGGGAGATGCTGGCTTTGTTGACAGCTTGGAAGATGGGAGGAGCTCCCACCAAGGGGCAAGTTTCAGGTACTGATGACAGCCTGGGTTTAAGCTTCCGGCAAAGAGGAAATCCCCTCCCCCTCTACCCTCCCTCAGTTTCTCTCACCACTTCCTCTGGCTGATGACCCCAGACGGAGGTGAAAAAGCAACACCTGATCCTTCTTATCACAATCTGGCAATGGGTGCGAGGGGGTGCCCTCCCCCCGCCCCCCCTAGAAATTCTCACCCCTCCCTGAGCAGAGTCTTGAAGCCAAGTAGGCCAGCACCCTGCCTCAGAGCCAAATCGCTTCCTGAACAGGTGAAGACTTCAGCATCCCTCAAGGTCGAAAAGTCACGCCCTGTTTAGAGCTCACTGTAGAGGTCTACAAAGACCCAGATAGCTTTCAGACAACCCTAGAGGAAAGTAGGGTAAAATCACAGTCCCAAGTTGTAAGGAAGGAAGTTAAGGTAAAATAAGAGCCTCACAGAATTGTGTGGTCTGAGCCATTAACCCTGAAATGGAAGACAAGCTTGGGGTTTTTCCATGATTTCATCGCACCTCAAATTCTTACATCCCCGGTGGTGGTGAAGCCAGACCAAGCTGGGGATGCTAATGGATCCCCATTAGAATGAGGCAGGGGCTGTGAACCTAATGCCACTGCAACCCAAGAACTACTGGGGTATGGGGGTGGCTTGACTTCCATCTTGGTCACTTCTGGGTTTTCCTAGTACCTGGATCAGTACCTGGTACCTATTACCCAGTACCCGGCACCTATTAGAGGCTCAGTAGATATTTGCTGAATGAATGCTGAGTGGAAGCCAGGGTGACGGAAGTGTGTGACTTTGACCAGGTATAATGCAATAGGAAGTGATGGGGTCTGCAGAAAACTGGGGAACTTCTGCCCGGATCAGATCAAAATCAAATTTTCAAAAGAGAGAAAAAATAGTGGGACTTCCCTGGTGGTCCAGGGGTTAGAACTCCACACTTCCACTGCAAGGGGCCCGGGTCCAACGTCTGGCTGGGGAACTAAGCTCCTGCAAGCTGCCGAGTGTGGCCAAAAATAAAAAATTAATAAAAAGAGAAGAAACAAACCCTGCATCTAAACAGAACTTCTGATTCCAGAATGTGATTATGTTGGCCATGCGGACTCCTTTTTTTAAGGAAAATCACTTTGTACCAGAAGCTAAAAGTACTGTCTGAACCCTTGTTTTGCCATCACCAGACTGTGTGACACAGGCATGTCCAACTTCCTTCTCTGTGCCTCTGTTTTCTCATCTGTGGAGCACAGTTCCTCCCAGTCCAACTCTGTCCAGCCTGGACCTGAGTCTGGGGAACAGCTGTGAATTGGGCTCCTATAGAAATCTGACTGGGGCAATCTCAGAAGGCTTCATGGAGGAGGTGATGTGACTGGACCTTTTCAGACGGACATCTCCTGCCTCCAAGGAACCTGATGAGTCAATATGCACAGGCTCTTTCTTGTGCACA